CGTGTCTTTCTCCTTTTATTTTCTCTCATGCAATGTTTCTACTATTATTGCCGATCGCTCAGCATTTATAATTTTGTTAATATTCTTTTCTTCTTTATTTTTCTTTTAATAAGAAATGTATAATATTTACTATATTGAAGAAATTTTTATATTGAGATTAAAATTGGAGATCCTCGTCCTTTCTTCTTTTTCTATTTCGTTTAATAATGGGATTATTATTTCTGGCTAACGCCGCACTCTTCTTACAATCCGATTTACAACTGTGATGGTACCTACAAAGCGGCGGTGCTGTTGAAACGAGGAACATTTCTGTCGTAAAGACATTTATTTCGCGACTGGGTCGCACACTTTTCCAAAACTTTTCCATTCTTCTTCGCGTTCTCGTTTTTGTGGAACGGCACAGTTCGTCGATTCATCGGTACAAAATAAGCGCGAGAACGAAAAAGTTCGACGACGATGCGGGAGAAGCTTCATTTTATTAAAAAATTTTATTTTTATTCCCGTCGCGGTGCTAGGCCATCCATGGCTATACCGGCGGTTAATACCGGAAGCGAGGTTTAATGGAATTACAACGTGTTTTATATGCGCGCCAGCATTTTCGCACGAGAAATTCGCAGAACGGACGAAAAGCGCACAAAAGGGAGAGCCGGACGGTTGGGGGCGGAATTTCACACGCCACCGCGTAACGTGTTTGCGTAATATTTGCATGATATATTTTCGATACGCCGGCTCGTCGCAAGATCCTATAAGTTTTATGCAAAGCGGACCACTATTGTCCACCGTGCTCGATAAATAAACCGGCGGGCTTCTACGAAGAAATCGGGTCTTGTAGAGATACGATGGAAGAACGTCTATTTTCACGTATCTCGCGTCATGTCTAAAGATGTGCTGACCTGATATACCGAAATATCGAGGAAAATCATATTATATGCGCTCGTGAGTTCGCCGAAAACCGTGTGAAAATAGGGTGAAATTGTGGATTTCTTCGCAACAACTATTCCGCAAAACTCAATTACACCTTTGTCCCAAGTAGCTATGTATACGCAAATGAGCAAGCATCCGACGGTGCGGTAAGTATACGAGCGTGAGTAAACGGACGTGGTTGCTACAAGACGAAGCTACCTATTTTCTACATTGTTGAATTTCTTGCGTAAATACTGTCTAAATACATGCACGGAGCAATTATTAGTGTAACCGAGAGAAAGAATCTTTTTTTATTGTTTTAATACCATTTAATATAATTCATTCTTTTTTTATTATTCTACCATTTGCAATTCAGGTCGTTCCGATATACATTGCTAGCACTGAAAGTTTAATCACTAAAGAATTTGATTTTGCTGAAATATCTAAAAAATTAACTTTTAGATATAGATCTAAAAATAATTTTGTTGGATCATCAACACAAACAAAATATTTATGTAGAACGTTTGAATTGATGGAATATCAAAACTTTTTGGATTATCATGTTTGAGATTTTTAATTATTTTGATGGTTCAACTGCATTATTTTTAGATCTGTATTCAAGTTAAGTTTTTGGATACTTTAGTAAAATCGTTTTTTTCATAGTATACGTAACGTTTCAATACTAGTAATATATCGAAACACAGCCTAAAAAAATTTATATAGGACTTCGACAAAGTTACAACATTAAAATTATTATGCAAAAGATATTTCATATATATTTATCTCTATTTTTAACTTTTATCTCTCGTGCTACATTTCCGTTTTTATTAAACTTATCTTCTCTCTATTTTCTCACATACGTGTGATCTACAATAATGAACTGTGCCGCATCATTCATTTGTGAAACCAAAGAAGAAACAATTTCCGGCAGCAAAATAATACGGTAGAATACACGTTTGAATTTTAAAAAAATCTCGTTTTATCTTAGATATTTTTTTTCCCATTTGATTAGGATATATTATAGCGTTTGCGCAACAATATTTTCGCAGAAACTTTGCATTTAAATTTCAATTAATTTCTCGAGTCAGAAATTTATTCTTATAAACAAAGAAATCGAGAATAGAAAAAACAAATTTTCCAAATGTAATGCATGTTGGTGTAAACTAAAATCTAGTTCAGATGTTAAAATTTTTCATTCTGATTAAACAAACTTTTATTTCAAAGAGCGTAATACAAACTAGATTTTTATATCAAATAGAAAATATTTTGCAAAATTTTAAATTAAAATAGCGTTTTTAATTAAACATAAAAATGCAAGATTTACCACGGGCGTTTAGATTATAATCTATCTATTTAGATTATAATCTAAACGCCCACGTGAAACATATTACAGATTTACCATTGCGCAAAATGGCTTTTATTTTATAAAGTAAAATTCAATCAAAATTCGATGAAATTTACGTGAATTTTTAGATTTTACGCAGCGTGCCTGTTTCATTGTTATCTCTTCGAAGGCGAGTCGTTATCGCAGAGGTCTACCAATTGCTCGTTCCCACTTTTACCGTTACATCGGTGCGTGCTTCGTACCTGACAAAAATCGGGGTTAAATTCGATGCGAGAAATGCATGCTCGCGCTGGGACAATCGAGTAACCGCATCCGACATCCCGGGTCATCCCCGACACGATACCAGCTGACCCACCCTGTTGGTAATCGGTAACCGGGGGTGAGAGGAGCAAGGGCGAAGGGCGAGTAATTCGCCACCTTCCGTTTCATTACTGCTTTACGAGAGATACAGCCGCATGACACGCAATCGCACGATCAATCCCGCCGTTATATTTGCGTCCATCAGAGCCACGGACGCTGAACGTATGTGAAATCGCGACCCATTACGCCCAATAGATCATTAATGCGTTGTTGCAACGCCGCTGGAATGCAGCATCCTGAGTACTTATATACCGAGAGAAAGATGTTTGGTTGAAAATGAACGAACCAGTAGAATCTGATATATCAATCAAAATTTCAGTCATCATGATTGAACATTTAGTTATCTTGACTAGAATTTCGGTTAATACGATTAGACTGAAAAAATACTAAATTTTAATAAATATTTGTTTGAATAGTTTTAAATAAATATTTATTTAGTATTATTTAAAGAGATATGTATGTATTAAGATTATTTAATTTTCTTCAGTGCAGAATCTATTGGTACATTCATTTTTAATAACATTTTTTTTAGGGTATGTAAAAATTAGGGAAGCAGAAAATTATCAATACATTACATTTTTTTATTTAAATAGCTCTCGCACTTAGCATGCTCTATATTGATCAGAAATACATTATTTTATTTGTTTATTGAGATAGTAACGAATAATTGTCGATTCTTTTGATATACCGCGTACTGAGATATTGATAGTACCGACCCGCTTCGCAATTAATGTACGAAAGCATTAAGTTACCAATTAATTGCAAATGGATTTCACTCAAAGAGCTTTATAATTGATGCTTGTAGAGCGCAAGTGAACGCCGGTAAAACTCGGCTAAATTCTCACGTGATCTCGCCTCTCATCAATCGACATTATTATGAAAGTGGAAATTTTGCGATTCGTGCAGGCGCATATTTTTCTGAGTTCGTAAAAACTGATTTGATTTTAAAGCATCTTTATGCGCATAATTTCGGAAAAAGATGCCCCATAAATCACGCGCTCGGCATCAAACTTCGCTCGTCCCGTCTTATTCATCTCTTAGACGGGAACAAAATCGAAGCGTGCGCGTTCAGGTCTCTAGAAAGAAAATTGCAATCTCGGGTTTTATAAGATGCAGGAGTGCGCCTTCGATATTTTGCGATTCTCGATAGAGTCAATGTTCTTGTACATAATTCCCGCGGCCAATTACATAAAGAAAAAGAAAGAAAGATTGCAGGCTGTCCTTCTGAAGGATATAAAATTCATTTTCCATTCGTATGTATTCTTCATAAAGATTTGATTTTAAATATATTGTAACGCACAGCAATAAATTTATGATTTATTGTCTAACTTAATATTTCACAAAATAAAATAAGATATGCTGTTTCCATGAATAAGTGTTCAAATACAATTATTAACGTAATGAAATATTTATTAATTTATTATTAATATTATTAATGAAACAGCAGATTTTTAAGATCGATCAATTTTGCTGTCTCAGAATTGTAAACTCCTCCTTCCATCCCTTTTTTTTTTTTGCAACGAACATTAACGTTTAAGTATCGCTTTTTTTCTCATTTTAACATACGGGTAATTTACTACGGAGAAATCTTCTCTCCAGAAAAGGAATTTCACGAGGAATTTACTCTTGTGGGAAGAATAAGCTTGTGGCGCAAAGCCTTCGAACCCTAAAAACTTCGTGGCAATCAATCAACCACGCCCAGCGATTATTAGTGCAACTTTGTGAGGAATAAGAACGAGCGTTTTAATCACAGCTACAGGATAGCTGTATACCAAATTGCCTTATGTAATTTGATATTAATTCTAATTGATATTAATCGAATAAATCCTCCTCTTACAAACTTTGCTCGCTGTATCATCAAGTTTATACAATTCTGTTTTCGAAGTACTTGAGATAATCAAATAATTTTTTGGAGCGTAACTATGAAGCGTATTTTGTTAAAATAAATTAGATAACGCGACATAATAATTTAGAGTTTGACAATATTGCGCGCAACAAAAAAAAAATCACATTACATATTGATCGCACTATTTTTCTTCACGAAATTGCGCATCGATATATAACTACGGTTCTTAACATAGCAAACAATTAACGATGACAGGGTATTTTCGGCTTAATTCAAATAATCCTGCCCTATATATACGTTCCGGTACTGGTTACGTTAAGTAATTGCGAACATCGCTAAATACTCTATTAATTATTTTTGCCAATCGTGCGACAAATGCGGCGGATTTATTAATAAAAGTTTTCGTGTATATGAATTGAATTTCAAACTGTTTTAACCGTGAGATAAAATTCTTCGCATGATTACTCTTTTTTTTTTTTTTTTTTTTTTTAAGTTTTTTTAGAGAAACAGGAGATGTAAAGCGTCTGTTTTTTTTGTCTGTTGCAGTGTGCGTACAGTGGCCCGAGGGTAGGTGCTTCCATGACGTGCCGGAGCCGGCACTGCTGAATCTCTACTTCGAGATCCGTGAGAACTGTCACGGCTTCTCCTGAAGGCAACGATCAATCAGGCTACGACAATGATGACAATGACGGGCTTCCGCGCTCCTCGTCTTGTTGCGAGCGCGCGGATCATCATTATCACTTCAGTATCGCGCGAGAGAAACATTCTCGAGATAACGTATTTATTTAAAAGTCTTTCCAACAGCCGCCACACACCACGACCAAGCCAAAAACGAATAGCCACGTATAGCCACATAGAGAAAGGATGAAAGTCCTTGGTTTTTTCTTTCTTTTTTTTCGTTCACGTCGATACATTCCGTCCGGAGGAACAGTTCCTATTCTCGCGATTTTAGTAGAGACGCGCCGTCGAATGGATAGAGTCGACGGAATGATTCTTCGTGTGAGGATACCGATCTTTTAATAATCGGATCTGTGAATGGAATCCTTGTGCAAAATTAATCAACTTAACTTGCAGATTATTAAATGATATTTTTTTTTATTGAACAATACATTAATTAGTCTTTCAATAAATTTGAATTTAGTTAAGCCTCTTAGATAAAAAACAATAAATATTATAAACAATATTAATTAATTATTGATAATTAATTATATTTTGCAAAGAGACTTTTGTGTGGCGATAGTTTCTAAAAAATGACGGGCTCCGAAAATCTGATTCAATTTCCCGTCGTCTCCGTTCATTCGAGCCGCGTCTCCCTTCGAGAGCGACACGCAACAATGCCTGGTGTTCTCGTGTGTATCGTTTCCGGTGATCGTGATGGATCTTGTGTGACACAGGTCTAACATTGGCCTTAAATGGGCGCTTGGCAGAATTCTCGCTGAGCGCGCGAAACGGGATCTCTCGCGTCTCTTTCTTTATAGGGTTCTCGATGATCCCAGCAGAAGCAAGGTGGGTGGTCCAGAATATTTATTTACCTACAACTAATTGCTCGTCGTTCAGTCAGCTCGGGATTAAAGACTCTCTCCTGTTTTATATACGTATATATTTTTGTTTATTGTACTTGCCTTTTCTCTATTGTCCAGCAGGAGAGATACAACCATGCTCAGCCATTCCTAAGTTTCTCTTACACAACCAATTTTTCTTTTGTTGTTTCCCTCGAGCCGAAACGAAGTCCTCCTATCTTATCATCCGTCTCTACTTCGCGGTGAGAAAGCTACAAAAAGTAATAACAGCTTTTACTCTCGTGCGGAGGAAAATGCGTTGTGTAAAGCAGAAAAGAGAACAGAAAGAGAGAGAATCGACATAAAAGTAACTTGCAGTAAAATGTCACGTAAGAAAAATTATGATTAAAAAATGTTAAACGGAAATACCATCATGTAATACTTTTTATATGATTATTTATTGTGATATTGCAGATATTGGAAAGCATTATGTTATTAATAATTCCTATCGAATCGCATTTTCTTCAGCACTGTTTTGTAATGCGCATTTGTAAATCCTTTATGTAAAACGGCGAATTCAGAGCAGAAGCAATTAATCGTTATGAAATCGATCGCGCGAGCTGCAATTTACGATCTTTTGTAGTATGCAATGAAAAGCATGAACTTCAGATTAGCGAGGCGATCGATTTAAGAATCGACATAATTTCGGGCAAAAATGCAAGCATCGCGTTGTTTCGGCGATCATAATTTTAAACTTCTCGCAGCGAGACATCGTCGTGAATTAACAAACTTCTGATGCTTTTACCATCGCGCTAAATTTCGATGCCACTTTTACAAAGGATGGAAATTAAAGATAGAACTTTATTTATTTAAAATATTTCTATTTTACGCTATTTTGCAAGCGAAAAAAAAATTTATACAGGGAAAATATCATTTTTGTAAAATCAGAATTTAACATCAAGGTATTTCTGCCTTTGATTATATATTTACCGTTCCGAATGGTAGTTCCATTATCTAAATATACAACTGTTTCAGTCAAAATGGCAGAATATAACATATCGCAAAAATTTTTTTTTGCTTTTTTTTAATGGAATATATTGATTTGCTATATTTTGCTCATACTTTGGTACAAATGTATGTAGAAATGTTTCGTAAAGTCAAATGGCAGGTAAATTACGCGATAATTTAAACTAACTTATATATATATTTAGACTTAACGAAACGAGTACAGGGTAATAGATTATTAAGAATAAATAAGCTTTTTTTATTTACAAATTTTTAATCGAGATTGGAAAGGAAAATTCCGATTTTTTATATATTTAATTCGCTTATATATCTTCGCGAAATTTAATGATTTTGTCGTCAATTGTCAAAATAACAAATATATTTTTAGAACGTAAGTAGGTAGTTACCGTGCCAAAAAACACAGGGTATTAATTGTGGTGATTAAGTAATCGTTTTAGATATTTCGTGTAATTAATTAGTAGATGACATTATACATTTTTACATAGGACAGAAGAGATATAGCTGCGTTTTTAAATGCCGATTAGACGAAATGTAGCATCAAGCTCACGTGGTTCTGCAAGTGATTCTAACTCACCCACACCAGTCGCGTTTGTTCCGCAGTCTATTTTTATACAATGTAATTTTTATACTTGACGAGTAATCGCTCGTAGTCGAGCTTAACGTTAAAACGCACTTGCAGAATCCACGAGAATGTAGAACAGTATTACGCAACCGCATGACTGTACTCTATTACAGGGTTAAAACGACATTCCAAAGAGCGTGACATCGATTACTCGCCAAGCGAGTAAACTGGGGTAATTCGCTATAAAATAACCGTATATAAATGATGTGTTCGTGATTTATTCCGCCTTTACCGATCCATTGATCAATCGTGTGCCATAAATACTCCATTTTACAAACGTAGAAAGTAGGCTTACTCAGACAATTTTTTATAGATTAAGACACGACATTAGTTGCGTAGCGATTAGACATAGTTGATCGTCAAGTAAGTGTTTGTGTGTGGACGATTAAGTGTTCTACGAAAAATGGGCATGAAAGTATTTATAGAATATAACAGAATATTAGAATTCAGAAGTCGGACGAGGAAAATGATGAAATGAAAATAGATGGATAAATTAAGCGAGAACATATAAAACAAAAACGTGACAAAGAGAAAATAGTTATTTTCTATAAGACCAGCATTTATAAATTTTATACATGAACAGACATTAATATTTCTCGTTGAATATTAACAATATTTCAGTTTTGCACCAAAGTTCGATGGAAGTTTGTTTTTGTGGAAAAATTGAAAATTCGTTTGAAGAATATTAATTTTTGAAAATTTTTAACACGCGCATGTAAATAAAATATGATGTGTATATATGTGTATGCTCGCATTTTTCTTTTACATAATTAATTGTAGCGCTTTTTTAAAAAAATTATTTTTGCTTTTATGTAGTAAAAATGAATTTAATTATATAAAATATAATTTATTAATGTCACGAGATGACAAACTGTATCGAGGCTTGGAGCAAAACAAGCATTAACAAAGCAAATTGTTAATCGATACAAGGATAACGTGTTCTTCGCTGATCATCGAAACAAATCTACGACACACACAAGCGGACCGATTTGTCACATCTCAGCCAATAAAGAAGAATTTTTACTTTCCATATATCGACGAGTCAATCGAAAACCGATTCTCACGATTGCACACTCATGCATGTATCTATTATTTATCGGAGAAAAACAGAGAATTGGGGCAGATACGAGAATCATTTAAAACTTTTAAAAGATTATGTAAAATGACATGAATTTTTTATATTAAAAATTATATAAGCTGGTAATTTCATATAAAAATAATTAACTTGAAATTATCAAATAATCTCATTTAATTATCACAAAATTAATTAGCAAAATTAATGGATTTTTAAGAAATAGTTTGGGAAGAAATGAAAGAATGGCAGGCAAAACAAGCGTGATTTTGTCATTATGATTATATTTGCCTCTTCTCTAATTCTCTCTTTCTATTAATTATACGATCGCTCCGTTCATTTCGCATACTTTTCGGTCATCTTATGGAAATGTTCCATCGCTGAAGTTTCCGCTATAAGTAGTCGAGATATTTTCGTCGACGCGCTCTATTCTCCGTCTATTCATCGAATCGTCGTCGTTCGGTACTTTCTGCGAATCTGATTTCAAAGTCATAATCGCGAAAATATTTTAGTCGCATGCTTTCCTTATCCTTTTACTTTGAGAGCAATCCACACGTTAGCCGTGTTAAGAAAAAGATTCTCTTTTCTCTTTTACCTCGAAATTCTCTCACGAGTGACGTTCAAGCGTACAATCTCAAGCCGACAGTTTAGCGATGGGATAACGAAAAAGAAACGCAGAAGAGAAAGAGTTCTCACCGTCTGAGGAAAGATCCGGAAGTCGAGGTCCTTCCTCTCTTCTTGGACTGTTCACCTCTCTGTCTTTTCATCTATTCCAACCTCGCACTTCTAGCGGCGATATTACTACTCTGCTTCGTAGTTCTCGAAGCACATTCCGCGTCTCCTAACAATTTTCATTCCATTTCATATCGCTTCCCTAGGTTTTTTTCCCTTTACTTCTATCTCCTTCCTTCCTGTTGCCCTGGTTCATTCCTTCTTCCAATTTTCTTTCGTGTCAGAATTCTTTCACTTCAGGTCGCGCTATCGCGCGGTCGCGTCAGAGACGCGGAGGGGAAATTGATATTACTGTCGGGAGAGAAAAAGATTTGCCTCTCTCGACGTGCAAGATTTTATTGCCTTCACGACGCGACGTCTGATGTTCATTATGCGTGAACTTGAAGACAAATCGCTTAATTCAAAGTTTGTTTCTGGCTCGACAAAGACAGCTTGAAATTGCGCGTAAATGTTATTGATTTTCGAAAACTTATTGTATGCCGACGACGATTTGGATGATGCATGCTGTAGGCTTTTTATTTTGAGATTATGCTTACGTTATTTGAATACACGATAATGATTCACGGAGCGTTAAAAAAAAACGTAAGTCATGCAGGACTTTTCGCTCGTAAAAGGT